TAGAGACGTGAACACAGGACATGCCGAGTGTCTCGTCAGGTGAACTCTAAGTAACTAAAGTGGACTTACCTTTGAAGGACGTGTCGTGACACCTGAGGGAGGAGATGAAGTCTCCGAGCAGAGAGATCAGGACGAAGCTGAACTCTCTGTCCAGCCGCTCACCTGGCTGCTGGCCACACCTGCTCAGGTACAGAGTCATGGCTTCAGAGAAGGAGGAGGGGGCAGCGACACAGCACCCAGCTTCCTGTTAAAACACAGAAAAAACAATAACTAGGTCTCAATAAAAGATATTTTTTATCAAATATTCTTTCAGAAACATGTCAGCTGCAACCTTTTTTGTTACTTTATTGTATAAATGATGAGATTTTCAAAATGTATGAACTTCTTCCCTTCTGATTCAGAATAAAGTAAATAGACTCTTTTCTAGGTTCAAATAATAAAACTTCTCCTTTAGTTCATCTTTATAAACAAACTCAGATTTAAATGTTTCACAAACATGTTTCTGATACGTTGTGTGTCAAATCATATCAGTGACAGTTTACTGATATTATTTTATACCATATTAATCTGTGACATAGTTGGTTTAATTCCAACATTACTAATTCCCCTTAAATCATATTGTTAATGTTTTTAACTTAGTCGTCATCCATTACAGACGGCAAATAAAATGTCAAATGAACTCAAAAGATTTTATGAGATCAAATCTGTCCACTTTCTGTCCCCGTCTCTGTGTGTGTGACGTTATGAAAGGTTTCGTCCTCGATGATCTGGATCTGGTCTGACCTGCGTGGCAGTGGCCTCCCTGATGACCTCCAGCAGCGGCGCCTCCAGCAGCGCGTAGACCCTCTGAGCTGTGAGCAGGTGCTGGGTCTCGCTCAGCCCGCCCAGAACCAGCAGCAGAGTCTTGGTCAGGACCGGGAACGAGGCCCTGGACCTGAGGCCGGAGCCTCGGTGCTGCTCCACCAACACAGCCAGCTTCTCCATCTGAAGAGCAGAGACACACAAACGTTGCTGGAAATAGTCCCCAACAAAGACATCCTGTCCTGCTGTTTGTGTGATGAACGACACATTTGTGTTTTTAAAGATCGTCTTCAGTAGAAACCAACGAGCTTCAGGAACACAGAAACTTCACCGTCTGAGGGAAAAGCATGTTTTCTTTAACAATCGCCAAAACTACACCGTTTATCACCGCCAGAAGCTGTAATAACAGTCATTATCGGCAGATTATCATCTTTCTGACGGTCCTTGAACACATCACGTGTGATAAACGCTTCCGTTAGAAGAAGCAGCCAAAACAAAGCTTGAAATTTGTGATATTTCATCAAACATGTTATTCTCCATGTTGTCATAACTCTCTCCTCTAGTAAAGAGTTCACTTTAACCAGAGTGTGTAGAAACATTAAAGTGTGAAACTGACGTCATGATTGATTCATCTGAGACCAACAGTCATGTGACAACGAGGAGGAGACACTCTGACCCCTCAACACTCACCGCGTCCCGTCTGGAGAAGGTCTCCATGTTCAGAAGGTTCTTGGTCAACGTGGAGACGAGACGCTCGTTGGCCAAACCTACGAAGTCGGGTTCACCGCTTCTCTTCAGGAGCTCGTCCAGTTCTGAGAGGACACATGAGACCACATGAGACCACATGAGACCGCAAGAGACCACATGAGACCACATGAGAACGAAAGAGACCACATGAGAACGAAAGAGACCA